TCGCTCTCTCATTCCCTCGCTCTCTCGCTCTCTCACTCCCTCGCTCTCTCACTCCCTCGCTCTCTCACTCTCTCACTCCCTCGCTCTCTCGCTCCCTCGCTCTCTCGCTCTCGCTCTCTCGCTCCCTCGCTCTCTCACTCCCTCGCTCTCTCACTCTCTCGCTCCCTCACTCCCTCGCTCTCTCACTCCCTCGCTCTCTCGCTCCCTCGCTCTCTCACTCCCTCACTCTCTCGCTCTCTCACTCCCTCGCTCTCTCGCTCTCTCACTCCCTCGCTCTCTCGCTCCTTCGCTCTCTCACTCCCTCGCTCTCTCACTCCCTCGCTCTCTCACGCCTTCGCTCTCTCACGCCCTCGCTCTCTCACTCCCTCTCTCTCTCACTCTCTCACTCCCTCACTCTCTCACTCTCTCGCTCCCTCGCTCTTTCGCTCTCTCACTCCCTCGCTCTCTCACTCCCTCGCTCTCTCACGCCCTCGCTCTCTCACTCCCTCGCTCTCTCACTCCCTCGCTCTCTCACTCTCTCGCTCCCTCACTCCCTCGCTCTCTCGCTCCCTTGCTCTCTCGCTCTCTCACTCCCTCGCTCTCTCACGCCCTCGCTCTCTCACTCCCTCGCTCTCTCACTCCCTCGCTCGCTCACTCTCTCGCTCCCTCGCTCTTTCGCTCTCTCACTCCCTCGCTCTCTCTCTCGCTCTCAGTCCTGTGAGACCATATCCCCAAAATAGTCTTTAACGTCCGCCCTGAACCAGGGACGGACGGGGCTCGGTTTAACATCTCACCTGAAGGACAGCGCCTCCGACAATGCAGTGCTTCTCCCCCACCAACCCCCCGCCCTACCCCCCCACCACCCCCTCCCACCACACTGCTCCGTGTCTCCCTGTGTTAGGTTTTGCATGTGTTTCATTGCTGGTTCAGCTCATTCCCGCTCAAAAGGTAACGGTTAAATCCAGGTCGTTCGTAAGCCCGATTTTTCTCTTCTTCTTGTCCGATTCTCTCTCTCTCCCTCTCCCTCTCCCTCTCTCTCTCTCTCGCCTCCGAGTCACAAGGTTGTGGGTTCAAGCCCCCAAATCGGGGACTTGGAATCAGCGTAGTCTTAAGCTGACTTTCCGATGCAGCGATGGTGGGGGGGTGGTTGTTGCGTTGTCGGTGGCACTATTTAACATTCAGGTGGATATTCAAGATTCCGCGGTGCTATTCGAAAAGAGAAGAGAGTTTCTCTCTCTCTCTCTCTCTCCTCGTGTCCCTGGCCGACAATTCCCCCCCAAATAAATTCGGACGCTCCCTCCATGACTGTTCGTGCGGACACTGCTGCGAGCAGCTGGCTGCCGAGTTTTCGCCGACAAAATAACGGGGTCACTCGGTTTTACAGCATATCCTGTAAAGCGCTTTGAGTCGTGATAAGGCGCTACATCAGGTGCAAAGATTATTATTATTATTATTATAGAAAGAGGTCAAGCGAGTCACTTGACTTGTTCCTGTGGAGCCTCTAGTGGCTGGTTGTGGAACTGCACCAATTTGAGGCCAAGAGGAAGGTTTTCGGGCAGGACTTGAGAAGGGGCGGGGAGGGGGCAAGGCGGAGGGGGATCGAGGGAGAGGGTTCCAGAGTTTCGGGGTGTAGCGGCTGATCACAGGAGATTGTTTGAAGAAACCAAAGAGAGAATAGTGATGGGTGTTATTGATGTTATTTTAAATGGAAAACGGGAGGGCTTCAATCAATAAGACCTTCTTTCCCACTTTCTCTCTCTCTCTCACTCCCTCTTACTCTCTCTTTTGCTCGCTTTTTCTCCTCTCCATCTCTCTATCTCTAGCTCCCTCTCCCTCTCTCTCGCTCTCTCCCTCTCTCTATCTCTGTGTAGCTCAATCTTTCGCCCTCTGTGTGTGTGTCTCCCTCTCTCCTCTCCCTCTCTGTGTGTCCCTCACTTCTCTCTCTCTCTCTCTCTCACCCTCTCTGTGTCTCGTTCTCTCTCTCTCTCTCTCTGAGTGACATCAGTCTTCCCGCTGCTGTTCTGTTTCCCACCCCCGTCGCCCCCACACCCAACCCTGGGCCAAGGCAGGGTCGGGAGCAATGGATTTCTCAATACTGTGGTGCTGGTAATTTGTTTTTCTGGTCAAAGCAACAGGTGCCCATGTTGTCCTGGGCCTTTCAAGCAAAAAGATTTAGCGACCCAGAATTTAGCTCATTCATCTGCCAGGCTCCTAGGAGACACATTCCATCAGACGTGTCATTGAGTGAGATGCTTCCCACTGAGGGACCAGTTCATTTATCCTCACACACACACACACGCGGCTACTGTAGCCAACAATAGCGTTTAAAATACTGTACATCTACATAGTGGGAGAGAGAGAGAGACAGAGAGAGAGTAAGCGAAAGTGAGAGAGAGTGAAAGGGAGAGAGAGAACGAAAGAGGGGGAGAGAGCGAAAGGGAGAGCGAATGAGAAAGAGAGAGGAGGAGGAGGAGAGAGAGAAAGAGCAAAGAGAAAGAGAGAGAACAAGAGAGAGAAATAGGGTAAAAGGGAGAATGAATGAGAAAGCGCAAGAAAGGGAAAGAGATTGCGAGAGAGAGAGACAGGAGGAGAAAGAGAGAGAGAGAGCAAGAGAAAGAAAGAGCATGAGAGAGACAGAGAATGAGGGAGAGAGGGTGAACGGGAGATATATATAGAGAGAGAGAGAGAGAGAGAGAGAAGAGAGAGAGCAAGAAGGAGATAGAGTGAGGGTATCAATACAGAAGCCTTTCTGCTGCTCTCGAGTTGAGGAGATCAGAGACCAATCCTGGAATTGCTTCCATCTTGTCTTAGCCTTAAGAGCATTAGGTCCTGAATTCCTCCCGAGTCCACGAAACTGTGTTGATTTAACACATAAAATTGTGCCGATCGATGGAAAATCCTTAAATTCGGGTTCGCTTGAAAACCTCAGGGATCTCCTAATCCGATGTGAAAGGCGCGTAGGAATATATTGTAATTTAGCTGCTGCGTTTCAGTCAATTTAATTTTTTTACAGTATATCCTGTGAAGCGCTTTGAGACGTCTCAACGACGTGATAAGGCGCTGTATCAAATGCGAGGATTATTACTGCAGCTCCGGATCTGCTCCCAACACTTTGACCGTCTCCCCGGGGGTGGGGGGAGGTGGTGGGGGTGTGGATGGAGAGTGTGTGGGGGGTGGTGGGGTGGGGTTGGAGGAGGCAGGAATCCAGATTAAGTGGAGCCAGAGAGCTAATTGCTGTCTGCTCCAGACGGATACTGGCTGCAACCAACGCGCTGGAGAGATGCCCCGTTTCGCTCGGGCACTCGGCTGCCCGTCACGCCAACCAAATCCTATTTGTGTTTGGCTCGAGCTCCCCCTCGGTTGGACCCAACTCCCCACACACACCCCCCCCCCACCCACTGCCTCTTAAAAGAAAACTCGACGCCACCCACTGAGGTTAACCACATTCACAAAGAAACTTTCATTAAAAGTTTCAGTTCATTAAACGTTGTCCACTTGGCTTGGGTTCAGCTGCGTATAGAGATTAATGTGGCTTCCAGTGATCTCAATGAGCTTAGCCTCAAGGCTATTTGTGTTACATAATAAGTCCGTCTGTCCGTTTCCCCCCCCCCCCCCCCCCCACCACTCTCACTGCCCTGTTAGAATCTCCTGCACAGTTCGCCTATTTACCAGTAATAGTAATCCTTGCATTGCATATGACTGGGGGTGTCTCGAAGCGCTTCACAGAATATATTGTAAAGTGTGGTGACTGTGTATTTTGTGGGCGAAACCCACAAACAGTCATGGATTGAAGTGACCGAAATTTTTTGTAATACAGTCCCCGCACTTTACTGTAAATCCTGGGAAGTGCTTTTGAGACGTCTTAACCATGTGACGAGGCATTATATCAAATTAAATTTATTTATCGACGTCCTGTGCGGCCTTTGAGACGCCGTCTCAGTGTGAAAGGCGAGCGCTGGACTAAATGTAAGGATGGTTACGATTTATTTAGGATTATTCTGTAACGGTCGCTTCTAGACCTTAAATGTGCCTCCTCGTAGGATCCGTTTACCTCGCCCTAAGTCGGAACACGGTTGTTAGTCGATTGGCGGATCGCTTTCCGTGGGAAACAATGCCTCAAAAAAATCGGTTGCGCAATCCACGACTGTTCGCGGGGAAGTTGCTGTGCGCAATCGGCTGTCGCGCTTCACCCGCAAAATACGCAGTCGATTCTCTTCCCAGTACGTTCTGTGAAGCGCTTTGAGATGTCTCGAAGACGCGATAAGGCGCTGCAATGGTTATCAGAATGTACTGTAAGGGGATTGCAGTTCAGCACATGCCCAGACTCCTGCCGAAGAGACCGCTCTCCGTCCTTCACCACAGTAACAGCAGCAGCTCCGAGTCACGTCTTGACAAACTTCAATGACAGGATATTTATAGCTCCCCCGCCCCCTAACACCCTCCCCCCCCCGCACTCCCCACCCACTTTAGCTTTGGCTGCCAGGGTGGGGGGTTGTTGTGGTTGCCAGCAGTTACCTGCCTGCGTTCTTGTACAGCCGCCCAGAACAACTTGTGCACCTTTGACCATTGACCTTCCGTGAGTGTCTGACATCCCCCCGGGGTCAGCAGCCCTTTATTATAAATATCAGACGTGAATAATGGCACCTGGCACTCAAACCCCCCCCTCCCCCCACCACCACCCCCCACCCCCCAGCTCCTCCGCAGTCACACTGGCTCAGAGCAGGACTGATCGACGTGAACTTTATCTGCCTAGGTGTGTGTGGAGCAAGAAATTCAAACCTCCTCACTGCTCCCCCACTCTCCCCACCCGCCCTCGGATCAGAGATGCGCTCTCTCTCGCTCTCCCTCCCCCCACTATCAGGACAAGTGCCAGCTCACAGAGTCACTGGGGGGCCGGGATTCTTTCCTCTCTGCTCCTGTTAACCCTGGCAGCCAAAGCTAAGATGGTTCCTCCCCCCCTCCCCCCCCCACCCACCCACCTAACCTGTCGGCTTCATCTTCTCGGTTGTTCTTCCCAACAGGAGATCGTATTAGTGGTTTTCTTCGGAATCGAATACTTGGTCCGACTGTGGTCAGCCGGGTGCCGGAGCAAGTACGTCGGATTCTGGGGGAGGCTTCGCTTTGCCAGGAAGCCCATCTCCATCATCGGTGAGTGGCAGCCATATTGGGTGTGGGTGGTGAGGTGGGGGGGTGTCACTGCGTGTGTGAGGCGTGCAGGGGGGTCACCAGATTCTTGGCCGCGCCCAGCACTGTTGGTACACAGGGTACACGATGTTGTTATTGTTGTTTATATTCTTGATGTTGTTATTGTTTTTGATGTTGTTGCGGTGGTGGTGGTGGTGAATGTTGCTGTTGTTGTTGTCTCCTCCATTTTCCTGGGGAAAGTGACCTCCTGTGACCTCCTTCCCCACAGACCTCATCGTGGTGGTGGCTTCAATCATCGTACTCTGTGTCGGATCGAATGGGCAAGTCTTTGCAACGTCAGCCATCAGGTAACGTGTAGGAAGAAGCTTCATCCCATCTAGCACCAACAGACCACCTCCCCTTTGGTTGATATTTCATTCACAAATCTTGGAATACGGGGTAATAATCCCTCCGAAAAGATAATAATAATAATAACAAAATAATAATGAATCAGTCGCTTCAATCCACGACTGTTTGTGGTGACGCCGCCGTACGCAATTGGCTGCCGCATTTCGCCCACAAAATTACCCGGTCAATTCACTTTATCCGTGAAGCGTTTGAGTCGTCTCGACGAATGTGATCAGGCGCCGTATCAAATGCGAGGATTATTATTATGAATGTTATCGGTTGTTGTTGTTATCCGGGCTGCCCTCTTGTTGCAGAGGTATCCGCTTCCTGCAGATCCTCCGGATGCTGCATGTGGACCGTCAGGGTGGCACGTGGCGTCTCCTGGGATCTGTCGTGTTTATCCATCGTCAGGTAAGGACTGAGCCGCCCGCACCCTCGGTGGGAGATCAGTAGGTGGAGGGAGGGATGGGGTGGGGGGGGGTGGGGTGGTCGGGGTGGTAGGTGAGGAGGAATCACTTCCGCACTGAGCACTGAGACTTGAGAGACATTCACCCCCAAAAATATCCATTTAACATTCACGTGAAAGAGACAACCCTTGGAGGAGAACTCCGAGGCCTGTCTATTTCTCCGGGACTTGGAACCCATATGGTCTAGGCTGACGCTCCAATGCAATGCTGGGGGGGGGGGTTAGGGGATGGCGGGGGGGGAAAGTGCTGCACTGTCAGCATCTCTGGCCCTCAATGAGACGTCGAACCAAACAGTAAGTCCGTGCCTGTTCGGGTGAACGTTAAAAGTTCCCGCGGCGCTGTTTAAAAAGAGAAGGGAGTTTCTCCCTCCCGATGTTGTGGCCAACAAGCACTGGCCACCTGCCACCTGTGCCCACGGAAAAAACACGTACAGTCGCACCACGTTACAGCGAATCCTGTGAAGCGCTTTGAGCCGCCGCCTCCTGATGTGGACGGCGCTGCGTCAAAAGTAAAACGGTTTGTTGTTATTTCTGTCCCCGTCCCTGAAACAGGAACTGATCACCACGCTGTACATCGGGTTCCTGGGCCTGATCTTTTCCTCCTACTTTGTGTACCTGGTTGAGAAAGACGCAGTGAACGACAACGGGGAACAGCCCTTCGGGAGCTATGCGGACGCCCTGTGGTGGGGGGTGGTGAGTTCCTCTTGTTGTTGTCCCTGTTTAGGTACGAGCTTGGCTCACTCACTCAGCCGGTCGCACGCTCATATCTGAGTCTGGTTGTAGGGTCAAGACTTTGAGACGTTGACCGGCTATTCTGACCCTCCAGTGCATTGCTGGGGGGAATGCCACATTGTCGGAGATGGAGGGGATCTCTCTCTCTTCTCTCCCCGGTCCTGGTCGACAATCCCCCAGATAAAATTGGTCTTTCACTTCACAATCATTCGCACCACTTTACAGTATATCCTGGGGAGGGTTTTGGGGACATCCTCTTGACGTATTATCCCCAAATTTTACATTATTCATCGTTTTGGAACCGTCTGCAATTCGGTCTCAATTTGGAAACTGGTCTTTGTAAAAGAGATTTTTCCCATTAAAGGGAATTGCCATTAAAGGGATTTCCCTATTAACAACAACAACAACTTGCATTTATACAGCGCCCTTTAAGCCAGACGGCCCCTCGAATCCCCTTAAAGGGATTTCCCTAGAAAAGGGATTTCCCATTACAATACAATACAAAGTTACATTTGCAAAGCGCCTTTCACGTCGGGCGGACCACCCAAGGCGCTGAACAGTCAGGGATTAGGACCCGAGCAGTGGGTGAGGAGGTGGTGTTGGGATCAGGGAGGGTGGAGGGGGGAGAGGGCGGGGGGGGAAATAAGAGTGCGGTCGAAGGCACAGACGAAGATGAGGGTCTTGAGGCGTGCAGGGAAGTGATAAACCCTCTAGAATTGGAATGGTTGATCGCATTCAGGGAGCCAAGCTGTTCCGGGTGTTTCTATGCTCAACAGGTCACAGTCACTACGATCGGATACGGTGATAAGGTCCCTCAGACATGGATTGGCCGAACAATCGCATCCTGCTTCTCCGTTTTCGCAATCTCGTTCTTCGCTCTTCCAGCAGTAAGTTTGCCGATCGGTTCAGATACTGACCACTTAACATCCTCCCGAACTGTCCGTTCCCTCCGCTCAGCTGGCTCTGGCCTACTTCACGTCCTCCGCCCTGCCCACCCCACCATCGGCGATCGGGCCTTCAGCTCTTCTGCACCTCCACCCTCTGGAACTCCACCCCAAAATCCCTCCGCCTCACCCCTTCCCTTGTTTCCTTCAAGGCCCGTTTCAAGACGTTCCTCTTTTTTAACCTCTCCAGTCACTCATTTTATTAGGTGATTGCTGGATGTCCTGACTTTAGACTGTAAACCTCAGGGCTAACTCCTAGCTAAGACTAGGTAGAATTTCAGGTCAAGCCCCCTCTTAAAGCTGCCAGCAGCTTTCACGTTCCCCAAACAAACCAATGATTTAATTTTCTTTCATTATTCCAGGGGATCTTGGGTTCCGGTTTTGCTCTTAAAGTTCAGCAGAAACAGCGTCAGAAGCACTTTAACCGTCAGATCCCGGCCGCTGCCTCCCTCATTCAGGTACGTTCCCGCGTGGGGGTGGGGGGGGAGAGTGATGTCTGGTCACCGGGCAGAACAGGGACCTTCCAACCCCAATCCAACAGGGCCGAAGGCGCGGTCGAAGAGGAGAGTCTTGAGACATGCCTTGAAGGAGGCAAGGGAGGGAGCGAGGCGAAGGAAATGCGGGATGGATTTCCAAAGGATGGGGGGGCGCGGAGAGGCCGAAGGCGGCGTGGGGTGGGATGTGCATGGGACGTGGAACAGGCCGGAGCTTGTGAAGGGAGGGAGCGACAGGTTGATAGGGGCGTTAACAGGTCACAGAGCAAGGCCATGGAGGGCCTTGAAGGCGAGGACGAGGATTTTGAATTCTACCCTTTGGAGGATTGGAAGCCATTGTAGCTGGACGAAGGTGGGGGTGATGGGGTCACGTAGCCTGGTGCAGGAGAGGAAACACGAGCTGCAGAGTTCTGGATGACCTGCAGCTTGTGGAGGGAAGAGTTGGCAAGGCCGACAGGCAGGGAGTTGGCGTAGGTAACAGTGTGTGAGAGAGACACAAGTGAGTTTCGCTGTGATTGTGACCTCTATGAATAGGAAACCCTTCAGTAAGGCATGTGGTGGGGGCTTTGTTATTCTATGTAAGCATTCAGGGCTGTAACCTGATATATGGGACTGTCTTCTCAAAACAAAAATCCTTCCCATCGTTGACTGGGTTCGACGACAAAACAAGTCTCACAGCCACATGTGCCATGGCTACAGCAAACATCTGGTTTACCCAAGCCGCAGACAGCCTAATCTTATTAATCTATTACTTTTTGAACTGTGACCGAAGAACAAACTGTGTCAAAGGACACAATTGGCGAACGGTTCTGTCATTTTGACTGTGAGCCTTTCAATATCCTACGGAATTACACAGTCACTACACTTCAAAATGAAATCATGTTCTAAGTTGATTGTTGCTGAGTGCTTGATGTGGGTTTGTCTAAACAGCTTGCTGTTGTTGTTGTTGTCTGTGTTTCCTGCTCAGACCTCGTGGCGATGTTACGCATCCGAGAACCACGAGTCAGCGACGTGGAAACTGTACGTCCGGCAACCGGTCAAGATGTATATTGGCTCATCCAGTCCCAAGCTGAAAAAATCAGCGGTAATTCTCATTCTGCTTCCTTCCCTTCTTTTCTCCCTAATTCCCTCCCTCCCTCCCTTCTCTCCTTCTCTCCTTCCTTCCCTCCCTCCCACCGTCCTTGGCGCTATTGCTATAGTGCAGAGATTACAGGTTATTAACCCACAGGCACAGCTCAGGGTAACCCCAGCTACAAACGCCTTTCACGCCAGGAGGACATCCCAAGGCGCTGGACAGTCAGAGCAGGGAGGGTAAGGGTAGGAGGGTGACCGAAGGTGCGGTCGAAGGGGAGGGTCTTGAGAGCGACCTTGGAGGAGGCTAATCCCACTCGCTGACATCAGACCGCATCGCGCCCGGCGCAGAGAGGTCAAGGTCACACGGTCATGATGCGGGCTTCCAATTCCAGGTTAAAAGGAAGAAACTCAAGCCCGAGAAGGACAACGGGCCGACCTCGGAAAAGTCGCTGACGGTGCCGTACGTCACGTACGACCACGCCATGGAGCTGGACGTTTGCAAACCAGAGACCTCCAACTCCGGGGCGTTCGATTCATCAGGTGAGAGACGGGGGAGGGGTGGTGGGGGGGTGGGGGCGGGTGGGGCACAAGGTCAGATTTGCTTCCAAAGACTTGCTTCGGGCAAAATACAAAGACCATTGATCAATGGCAATCGGTGTCCAGCAGTGACCCCCAGCTCTGGGTTCTCCCCCCCAAAGCGTTGGCTTCTGCCATCCTGTGCCTAATACTCCCTGAGATTAGGTAAACGGAATGCGTCCCTCCAGGGAGAGAGAGAGAGAGAAGGAGGGAGCACATTCCATGCCAACAAAATCTGTCTCTGGGATTCCCATGTGTAGGTGGGATGCTTGGAATTCTCAGTTGGGTCCGGGGACTCTTAAGCAACGGTGATGGATTTCCGCGCGTGTCAGACACCCGGCCGACCAAAAATATGCCTTGATGGTTGATATGATATTGGCTGCTTTGCCTTGCACTAACACTGAGACGCAAATAAATGGCACTGTGTCTGCGATCTCTACGAACAGGACTGTTCCACGTTAGGTACAGAGAGACTGTCTCCTCTGGTGGGTGGAGGGGAATCCAGAAGAAGTGGGTATCTTAATATTCGAGCTCGGCAATTCAGGAGTAAAATCAGGAGGCAGTTTGTCACACACCCAAAGGGTAGTGGGAATCCGGAACTCTCTCCCTCCCGAAAGGCTGTGATGCTGAATCCGTTCACATTTTCAAGACTGGGGTGGATAGATATTTGTGAGGTCAGGGATTCAAGTTGAAACGGGGTAATGGTGGGGAATTGGAGTTGAGGTATAGATCAGCCACGATCTTATAGAATGGCGGAACAGGCTCGGGGGGCTGAATGGGCTCCTCCTGTTCCTATGTATTACAGTCCAGTCAGCGAGGAAATGAAAGCGTTCGGTTAGTGCGATCTAAGACGGTGACCCGCGGTTGGAGCCGATCGCGTTTGGTCTGCCGTCGGGTGTTTACTGACTTAACGCGTGAGTCACCCTGTCAAACCGCACACTGCTCAGCGCCTCCTGTTACCAGTTCAGCGAAGGGTATATCGAACTCCCTGGATGCTCCTGGAAGCAATTGGGACCAAGCGAATGCAAAGCGAGAGAGCGAGAAAGAGAGAGAGCAAGCGAGAGAGAGAGAGAGAGAGAGCGTGAGCGGCCTTCAGATGTTCCTGATCAATCTCGCTGTAACTCGGTCCCGTTCAGAAACAAAATAAAACACAAGCGAGCTGCTTTTAATTAAAAAAAACTAGGAGCAGCTTCGCCAATGACACGACACAATGGCTTTGAACATCTGAGAGCTGCCCCTGAGCAATTGAAGTGTGCGGAAGGTGAGGGGGCTACAGTATAAACATCAGACTTGTGGTGCCTGGCAAACAAATTGATCCCTTAAGTATTCGCTGCAGTTAATTGGAATGTATCTTTTCTTGGCATTGCTAGCCATTAGTCGCAACGTCAGTGCTAGGAATTGGATAAAGCACGAGAGAGAGAGAAAGAGACTAATCATATTTGTGGACAGGCTTGAAGACGCCAAGTGAGTTCAATGAAAAATCTCGCCTGATACGTTCCCCTCTGATGGAGCAAGCGGAGTTGATCTATCTATTTGCTGGGCCCTCCGGCAACACAGGGAGAAATAGGAGATTGAAGCAGAAAGCATCAATGAACTTAAGAGAGGGAGGGAAAAGGGAATAGATGGGATGGGATGTAGGTGAGGGGGATAGGAGAGGGCGAGGGTTCACGTGGAGGATAACCACTAGAGCGACCGGTGGGGCCAAATGTCCCGTTTCCGAGCCGCAGGGCTCTGCGTAACTCTATACATCGTTTCATCGTGTTGCGTCATCCAATTAACGTAAGGACCTAAAGCTCTGGGCGTAGTTTATTACCCAAGTTGGCATCTGAGAACGAAAACGGGTTTCCTTGTGCCTTTATACGGTTTAAGGGATCAGCAATACATCAAATCAAGCCCACGCCGTGAGACTGCAGGCACTAGCAGAGGGTGCAGTCCGTGGGTAGAGTGGAATCTCTCAACCAACACTGACTTGAATTGGGTGCGACAGAATACAATGAGTTTGCTCCCTAAAATAAGGCAGCAACCAGTGACTGAGATGGTTCCTCAACAAAAGGCTCACAGGCCTGAACATCCACATAGTTTTAGCCTGCGTTTGAGAGACTGTTTAGCCTTTAAGATCACGCAGAGTTGTGCAAAGTCACTCAGTGTCAGTCGTATTTTTGAAGCCATCCGTTTCCTCTGACGTTTCTCTGTCTTTCTCTGTCCATGACTTATCTTTTTACCTCTCTCCCGCTTCTGCAAGTAAACAGGAAAAACACAGATGTTGAAAACAGACGGTAAGTTGCTTGTCGTGGCAGTAAAGATAGATTCTACCTTTTTATTCTTTCTCTTTTTTTTTTCCCCCTCCAATCTAGTTTCGTTCGTAAGTGACGTCTTGGGTGATTTTTCTCCCTGGTTGTTAACTTGAATAAGTTCCTCGGCTCCACCATCGGCAGCCACACTTTCAGCCACCGCGTCCCGAAGCTTTGGAACTCTCCCCCAATCCCTCCACCTTGCCCTGTGCTTCCCCTCTTTCAGATAATGACTGGAGAACCTTCCTCTTTCACCTCCTCGCTCCCCCCGACTCAGCGCCAGACCTCACCACTGTCAAGCGCTCTGAGACGCTGCCCCATGTGAAAGGCGCTGTATAAATGCAAGTTGTTGTGGTTGTTGAAATAACACCTAGACACAAGCTAAAGTTCTCTGCATGTTTGGTTTTTTTTGTGTGTGGTATACAGGTATTGATTGCACCTGCTTGGCTATATGCGTGTGATACAGTAGATAGCGAAATAGGTAAAACTCCAAAACTCTATCCACTATTTGCAGTTGGTGTAAAACTTGGGGATGGAGTGATTTTCGAAACAGGAAATATTTCTGTTTCATTCCTTACAGACTGTCCTTTGACCTCGAAGCTCCTGTCTGTCTGTCTTTGAGCCCCAGCACTGTCCCCAGAGATGTCTTATCTCTTGGGAGACGGTCCAGAATTCCGTCTAGTTTTAGCCTGTAAGACCATTTGGTCATAAACTCTTAAGACTGTGGAAATATTAATAACAATCCTCACATTCGATGCAGCTCCTTTCACGTCAGGAGGACGTCTCAAAGCCCTTCGAAGGATTGACTGTAAGGCAATGCAACCACGAATTTGTGCACAGCATTAATTAATCATATTAATAATAATTATAATCTATGCATTTAATACAGCACCTATTGCAGCGAATAGTTTCACATTGTTACTGTTAAGTGTCGCGGCTGTGCATTTGTAGCCTCACTAACCTATCTCCCACCCTCCCATCACTGTAGCTTTCTACAGATAAATGCTTTCTTCTCCCCACCCCCACCCCAAATGTTCTGCTATGGATCATTAGGGACTGAATAGTATGACAGCTTGGTTTGGGTACATTTAAGAAGAGTTTCCGTGTATTTCAGACACTAAGCTGACCAAAATAGATTACTTCCGAGTCATCTCATAAGATACCAACAATAATAATCCTTGCGTATAATACAGCGCCTTTCACGTCAGGAAGACGTCTCAAAGGGGCTTCGCGGGATCCATGTTAAAGTGAGTGACTGTGTGTTTTGAAGGCGAGTCTTGCAAACGATACCTGTCCGGTCTCGCGGAGTTTGTGTTTTGGGTGGAGAGTGAGACCGTCCCTTTTCAAATAGGTTCAAAGTCACTGAAAACACCTGTTTCAGACCCACCTGTGAACCACCGTGTGTTAATAACTGTTACTTGTTATCTCTTCCCTTTACGCTATCTGATTTCAAATTCTGTAATGAGAGAATGGAATGGATTGAAGTCCTTTCGGGCAGGTACGAGACTGTTTTTATTCTTCCATCTGTAGGTAACATAGTCTGTCTCTCTGTCTGTCTCTCTCTTTCTTTCTTCACCCTCTTCCACTGTCCTCCTCTCATTCTGCTCCCTCCCTGCCCCTCCCCTCTCTCTTTCTCTCTCTCTCTCTCTCTCTGTTTCTTTCTCTCCCTCCGTTCACCCAGGCCATCAATCCTCTTGGGCATCCTTTGCTCTGATCTTCTCCTCCAGCTCCCTTCTCCTTAAGGTACTACTCTAATACTGTGCCATTGAGTCTTTATAATAATAATAATAATCCTTGTATTTGATGTAGCGCCTTTTGAGGCGGGGTGCGGGAGAGGGATTATTACCCCCGGAAAGTGCTCCCCCATTCGACAAACAACTAAGTCCTACTTACTGCTGGGTAAACAGAGGCGTGTGGAGTAAGGAAACTAAGGAATACGCTACAGTGCTCTCCACTCTTTGTGTTGACAGGATAATGAATTGGCAGAGGAGTTTTTATTTCTACACTGGATTGAATTGCGATTCTCGTTGATGAGAAACGCTGAGTTGAACCCACAACAAAGTGCCCTGATAACCAGATCCAGTAGCGCACACCACGCTAGCCTCTGCAGTTGGCTCTTGGTACATGCCATGAATTGGCAAACAAAGTCATGTTGACTGATCTGGCGCCAGAGTCCAGTCTACCTCCTGCCTGGAGGTTGGCAGATACCCATCCATTTTCCTTCCCATTTCCTACTTGACAGCAGAATATAAATCAAATAGCATTTGGTCTATAAGTACAGGGAACGGTGGGGAACATGTCTCCCAATAAGACTAAGACTGTTTGCAAAGGGCTTCCATCCAACTGATTGCCACACCTTCCTCCAGAATGAAAATCCATCTCTAATAGAGACGCTTAAAGCGCTAAGAGCTCTTCACTTGGTAAGTTGCTCCGTTAGTTGCAGTCATCGAACAGTCTTCACTTAAGGAACTTGTAGCAAACCGGAATGGGATCAGAGTCCTGAAAGCTGAGGACACTCAAATCCTCTGGAGCTGGTTGTGGACATTGTGACAGCACTGAATTTCCTTGCTAGCCTCCTGCATAACCTGTTGTACAGACTAGTGGAGCTCTGAGTTGAAGGTTGTTGGTTCATGCTCACTGATTTAGGATTTGACGAGAGGTTAGGGTTAGGATTACGATTAGGGTTAGAAGAGGTTGGTCACAGATTTAGTGTTGTAGAGGGCAATTTTAGGCCAGACACCAGAAAGCTTTACTACTACAACAACAACAAGTTGCATTTATACAGCTCCCTTCACGCGGTATGGTGTCCCAGAGCGCTTCACAGACATTAACGCGCACGCAGTCTCTCCCCCCCCACCCCACACACCACCCTTCTCTTAAAGGGGACATAACAGACCTTCGGCCCCTTGTTAAGAAATCCCATTGGCAATCACCACATGTGAGAGACCGCACTCAAATAGATACCAAAAGTGTTAGTGATTCACAGTGCCTGGAAGACGAAGGTGCTTTAATCTTTCCACCCTCATTGGGACATGGTTTTCGGATTTTTTTCTTTCTCTCCAACCACAGGGAGGGTCGTGCAGAGCTCTTATTATTATTAATAATGATCCTTGCAGTCGATATCGCACCTTATTACTTTGTTAAGACGTCTCAAAGCGCTTCACAGAATATGCTGTAAAGTGTGTACTTTTGTAGGCGAAACGTGGCAGGCAATTGCGCACAGCGGCGTCCCACAAACAGTCGTAGATTGAGAGATCACTTTTTTGGGGGAGGGATTATTACCTCCGGAAAGCGATCCGCCAATTGACTAACAACCGGGTTCCTACTTACTGCGAGGTAAACAGAGGCGTGTGGAGTAAGGAAACTTACCTCAGATTTCATCCTTCCCGTGTATCGAACCAGGGTTCTCTGATTTGTGAGGCGAGAGCGCTAACTCCTACAGGACTCCGCATTGGCCTTTGACTCTTAACGAAGGTTCGGTGTTGAGGTGTTAAGCTGCGAGGGGGCGACTGACTCTTTTCCTTTGATTCTTGATTCCCCTGCAGTGAAGAAGTCGCTGGGAATGCTCGATGCCAACACGGGAGCCATCTCCAGAGCAAACAGCTTTGCTGACGAGCTTGACCAGATCGAGGGAGAGCCCATGCTGTACCCCATCACCCACATTTCACAGTGAGTCCTGATACCTGCTGGCAATGGCTGATAAGATTATACACACACACACACACCACACACGCCAGTGTCTGCCAAGATCAGCCGGCCACACTCTCACCTCTCGGAGTCAGACACTTCTGGACTCAAGCCTTGTGTCGAGGATTTGAACTCCCCTCCTGTCTACTCCCTCCGCTCAGCTGACTCTGGCCGGCTTCACGTCCCCAGCCCTGCCCGCCCCACCATCGGCGGTCGGGCATTCAGCCTCTCTGCCCCCACTCTTTGGAACTCCCTTCGCCTCCCTCCCTCCCTCGTTCCCTCCCTCGTCTTCTTCAATGCTCCTCTTCGACTGCACCTTCAATTACCCTCCTACCCCTTCCCTCCACCCCCTCTGATCCCAACCCACAGCTCAGGTGCAAATCCCTGACTGTCCAGCAGCTTGGGATGTCCTCCTGACGTGAAAGGTGCCGTGTAAATGTAAAGATGACGATTATCATCATTATTCTTATTATTATTGTCTGATAGCAAAGGGATTCGGAGATTTACAATAGTGGCAGAGATCCATTTGGGTTACTCATAGCCTCGCATTAAGCCCTGACATCAGCCAATGACATTGGCAATGCACAGGTGAAGAGTGTGAAGGATCTGAGATGAGATAATATATTGGAGGCTGAGGATTTGTACTGACAGATCTTCAATACTTTGAGTGTTTTGTGCATGCGTGTATGTGTGTGTGTGTGTATATGGTGTGGGAGTGGGAAGTGGGTGTAAAGTACGTACTTAACATTGAAACCACTACCCTATGGAATACAATCTCCCCCCCACCCCCACCACTTTCCCGCACCAGCCATCTCCCCTGGGAATTGGGATAAAGGTATTTACAAAGAGACGGCAACCTTTGCTAAACTGGAAACAGATGGGAGCGCGGCAGCCCAGTCTGGGTGTAATGGTGTCTGGGAGATGAAAGGGCGGCCGCGGTTTGCCTTGAAAGGAGCGGCAGAGAGATAAAAGTAATGAGCCGGCAGGTGTCCAGCCATCTCCTTGAAGCTCCGAGTCTGAGCAATTAGAGCTTCACTTCTTACTCTTATTCAGAGGGAGCTCGCAAGTAGGTGATGACCACAGTGTGGTAATGAGTCACTTTGCTGTGAAGTCGTGTCCACCGTATAGACAGACAGACAGACACACGCACATAGATAGATAGACAGGTACACACACACACATAGATAGATAGACAGGTAGACACACACACAGATACACACAGACACACACACACATAGATAGACAGGTAGACACACACACACATACACACAGACACACACATAGATAGACAGATACACAAACACACACACAGGCAGACAAGGAAAAGGGCCTGAAATTCCACCTAGTCTTAACCTGTAAGACGGATTTTTTTTCTTTCTGTGTTAATATTGACGCACAGAACAGTGGCAAAACACTTCAATTCTGCCTTTGTTTCAAAGTTGTCTCAGTCTCTCTCTCTCTCTCTCTTTTACTCTCCTTTTTCTCGGTATCTGTGCGTGCGAGTGTCTCTCTCTCTCATTCACTCTTTCTTTGCGTCTGTCTGTCTGGCTCCATCTCCCTCTTGCTCTCTCTCTCTCTCTCTCTCTTTCTCTCTGTTCTGGTCAATAGACCTCAGAATTAATTGGTCATTGGACTCGCTTCTCTGTACGGGACCTTGCTGATGCAGTCGACTGCTGCATTTGCCAAGAGGAACGGTCACTACTCTCTCTCTCTCTCTGTATATATATATATCTTATATATAGATATATATATATCTTCCCCCACAAAATATACAGTCAATTTACTTTATTATAATAATAATCCTTGCATTTGATTTAGCGCTTTTCATGTCTTCTAGACATCTCAAAGCGCTTCACAGAATAAACTGCAAAGTGAATTGACTGTATATTTGTGGGCGAAACTTTACCGTAAATCCTGTGAAGCGCTTCGAGACGTCTCGAAGACACGATAAGGCGCTGTATCAAATGCAAGGATTATTATTATTAAATGGGAGCTCTTTAAGAAGAAGCAAAGCTTTTACGAGGGCTGAGCTGGGGGCTGGGGGGGGGGGGTGCTGCGGTGTTGTCTGGTACTCGGGGAGTTTATGCGTCTCTGGTCTCAGCCCCCTCCTCACAGCTCTGTCAGGCCGGGCGGGCACCAGCTGCGAGCCGAGCCGGGGCTGGATGTGATTGATGTCAGTAATTAAAGTGCTTGATCTGAGCTGCTCACTTAAGTCAGCGCGGCTTTGATCCTTTGATCTGATAATGAAGCCTCAGCCCCTCGATGAACATCCTCCTGTTATTGTTTCTTTTGGGATGTCACACGAGGGCACAGCTCCAAGGCTCACAATTGCCAGCCTCACATCGGAGGTAAGCTGGTAAACACCCCTCCCCCACTTTCCCCCCCCCCATCCCCCTCTTCCTCCTCTGCCCCACACTCCACAGTTCCACAATGTCTGTCTATGGACCTGCTAATGAGAGGGAATTATTAAACTGCAGGAGTCATTCCCTGATAAAGGTCTGAACTATTCCATGTCTTCGCCCCCCACCCTCTCCCCCCCCGCCACACTCACTCGCCTGAACCTTTTCACCAGCTCATGTTGGGGGGCTGTGGAGGGGGGTGGTGTGTGGAGAGAGCTGTGACACTTCTGTCTGGAATTAGTTAAGTCTGTGTAAATTTGGGGTTCGTTTCCTGCTGTAGGCTTCTTACACACCAAGTTTTCCAAACATAATATTGACACTCAATAAGACACAGGACACTCAATAACAGGAAGAAGCCTTTTTTTTCTCTTCCCCTTTCCCCACGCCCTGGCCACCCCCCAATTTTAAAGACCCCCCCCCATCCCACCCCCGCCGTCCCCACTCCCCCAGGTAAAAATGTCATTGCCTACTTGTGGTACGTTGCTGTCCGCAAATTGGTTATCTTGAAATGCACAGTCGCTACACTTGATAGACGTGACTTGGGAAGTGCACATTCACAGCCTGACTCAACCCGGTCCCCGCTCAGTACTCAGTACTCCACTCTAAATGGGTAAACCCCGTGAAGTGACTTGAGACATCCCAAAGATTTGATAAGATGAGACCTGGAAGGCCAGGGTTATTCTGGATTACAGTTTGACTCGCTCGGTGAAATCACCAGCAGAGCGCGCTGTGCTCACATGTCAACCTCACTCACTCACTCACTCACCGAAGCAACACAACAACTGAACGGTCTGGGAGCGAGCAGAACTTGTGCGTGCGTTAAGTGAGGTTACTTTTTGTACGAGAGGAACCGAATGCAGAGGCGGAAAACTGATGGTGACTGAGATGTATCTTGGGTTACCGCTTTGTTTTGCTCTGTGCGTGTCAAGATGTGACCGTCTGGACTGCGTTGGGTTACGAGGTGGTGTTACGTGCTGGTATTCGGTACATGGGGTGGATTGTGGGGAGCGCTGCCGTGCGCAATCGGCTGCCGCATTTGGCCCACAAAATATACAGTCAATTCACTTACGGTATATTCTGCGAAGCACTTTGAGACGTTTCAATGATGTGATAAGGCGCTAAATCAAATACAAGGATTATTATTATTATATTATTATTATTGAAGAAATCCTCTGAGGGTTGGAGGTACACCGTGTCATATAACCTGTTGGCGGCCTGAGCTCTCTCCTATTCATCCCCATTATATAGAACTACAATGTGGAGTCCTGTAGCTCAGTGGTTAGAGCACTCGCTTTGCAAGCGAGAGACCTGAGTTCAATCCCAGGCAGGTCAGGGCGAAACCTTGGGCAAGTTTCCTTACTCCACACAGAGCCTAATAATAATCCCTCCAAAACCCAAAACAATAATAAATTGGTCATTTTCAATCTACGACTGTTTGTGGGACATTGCTGTGCGCAATTGGCTGCCGCGTTCGCCCACAAATATACAGTCAATTCACTTTACAGTGTGTTCTGTGAAGCGCTTTGGGACGTCCTCCCAACGTGAAAAGCGCTATATCAAATGCAAGGATTATTATTATTATTATTACAATGGACCTTCCCATTCACTGATCCTCTTTGGAATCCCAATGGACACAACACTTCCCTTTGACTCCTACCGTAGAACATTCCGAATGGGCCAAACCCCTGTTTACTCCCATTGCTTATAGAATTCTAACGGACCAAAGCTTTTCCCCTTCACATTCATTCTCCGATATTCCAGTAGGCCAAGGCGCTCCTCATTCACTTCCACGAGACTTGACTCTTTCCGGTCTCTTCTATCGTCCGCATTCCCAATGGATCAAACCCCTGCCTCTTCCCTCCCATGAACACACAATTCTGCTGAACGCAACACTCTCCCGTTCCCACTCTCATTGTACAGAAGTTGTGCAACAACAAATTACATTTGTGTCACACCTGGAGGACGTCTCAAGGCGCTGGACAGTCAGGGATTTGGGTCCGAGCAGGGGGTCGGGATCAGGAAGGTAGGCGGACACTGAAACCCTTCCTAATAATTTTGGCCTAATAAATGCTCCCAAGTTATCCGTTTCATGTTCCAGTGCTCAGCTTAACACGCTCGCCAGGCGCCCTGGTGTGTCCTAACCGGAGATAGGGTTGCTTCTAGCCATGCCCTTTGCGCAAAGTATGTTTTTGTTTAGTGCAGGCTTGGGTTTCTTCGAGAACAGCAATGTGTCTTGGGCAACTTGTGGCTGCATTTATCAGGACTCGCCTGAAGCTCTAAAAGGTTAAGTGGTTTAGTTGATGTTCATTGCGAACAGGATGTGTAGCGAGAGGCAAAGCGTTTAAGGCTTGAAAGGTTATTAATCATCAGATCAGATGAGCCTTTCTCTATTTTTTGAAGAGGAAAAAACTGAGGAAAGGTTGGCAGTTAGCCTCAAACACGGGTGAGTTGGGAGCAGCCCCATTGCAGTGGGAACTGGGGAGAAATCAGGAGAGTAGGAAGTGAGGCTTTAAACCATTCTTTCCAGGGAAATTCCTATTTTTGGGGGATCAATCGCTCAAAACCCTCTAGAAAATCAATCCA